TTACCGTTTTCCTTTAAAGTCTTTTGCCATTTTTCTCACTTTGTCTGTTAGCCGCTGTTTTGTTTTGCGTTCCTCTTCCTCGTTTTCCCTCCCAGTAATCAACTCGAGTTCCAAAGACTTTTCATTCTCCTTCACCCTCTGCCAGACAACTTCCCTCTTTACTGCATCACTTTCGATCATATCTCTTGTAATACTGAAGAGAAAGCTCGCTTGCTCATCCGAGAACTTTCTCCAGAACCTGGAAGATTCAGTGGAAACAGATGCTGTCGAATTCACTTCGGATGGAGGTGCAGGTGGCGCTGCTGAGCTGAGAAATCTGGCCACTTTCTCATGACTTGCCTCTTCTTGATTAGGGGGTTCAACTGATTCCATGTGTTCTTTTCTCAGCCTCCTGAGCTTTAAGACTATCGCCTTAATGGAACGATCCTTGAGAAGGTCTTCTGATAACAACTTTTCTGTCACTTTAGGTTCTTCAATTGCTCCAGTCTCAATGTCTTCACTAAATAAACGCTTTAGCTGCTCCGTCTCTTCCACCGACCATGGTTTTCCTGTGATTTCTTCCTTTCCGTCCAAATGAGCCTCATGAATGTTGTGAGTTTTAAGAGAAACAAGTTTGTGAACAGCTCTGCGACCTAAATCCGTTTCTCTAACTTTGTCATGCACACGGTAATACCTGGCTTGAGTTTGCGTCTTATGCTGAGCCAAGGCAGCGAGATGATCTTTCTCATGTGGCATATGTACATGCATGCCGGTTGCAAGCGACTTTCTTATTGTTGTAGCACATATTCGCCCCTCCTTAAAGATGCCCTCTCTCTGAAAAGCCCTCCATATGGAAGTTGATACTTGTGAAGACGTCAGTGACATCCCATAACTTGAAATAAAAAACTGCTCAACCTCCGTGGCAGCTGTCGCAGCGAATTGGCTTCGTACAGTTCTAAGGTACATGTCCATCAGGTTGTAGAGGTCATCGTACACCCAAACAACTGCAGCGCCGTAGACACCGGCGGTTTTGTGATCACTTACAAGGATTCTGTAACGAGCAAGGTCTTCGTCTGTGCCCGGGTAGAACACCGCAGCCTTAAACTCGCTGACTTTCATGCCTGAAGCAACACCGCTTCTTCCACTATTATCGATCAGTAGACGAGTTATAAGCCAGTCTCGCACCTCACAGTGGGTCTTGTCGTTGACAATTCTTCGAATATCAGTGCCTTTATTCGTTTCTTGTGAAGAAGTGGCCAGCTTTTTAATGGCATTTATGCGTTGTTCACCATGGCAGACCTTGTAAAACTGTTCACTTGAAATGAGCTTGTTGAAATCCTCGTCGTATTTTTGGAGTTTCCTCTTTAAAACCTTTTTCTTTTGGGCCGCTGACCATGAAGTCATGAGATCCCGGCGTGCATTTAAGGTATCCACACTCACATCAGACATCTCAGATTTTCTTTCTTGCGTTAAGAATTTATAGAACAGACGCAAACTCATGAGATAAGATCTCACAGTTCCCGGCTGATACTTTTCCACAGCATATGACAGCCACTTTTTCAAGAGATTTACCCCTTCTTTTTCCGGACGCACTAGCAGGTACACTGAAGGTTTTGAGTTTTGGGCTTCTTTGGCTGCCGTTTCCTCCTGTTTTAGACGGCGAACGACACTCCGTACCTGGGATTTGTACTGCTGCGCCATTTTTTCTGATCTGTACCCTCCATCCACGTCAATTAACCATTCATAAAACTCCGTCAGCAGTTGTCCAGTAAGCTCATCATTGACATCGTTGTTCTCTGTCTGTACGTCTGCTCCTTCCTCAATGTCACAATCGCTTGGGTTCCAATCTGTGTCGAGCGCATCATCATTATCGCTTTGATCTCCTCCAATCACACAACACAGTTCCTCCTGTACGTATTTATCGTACTCTTCCGCCGATCGTACCAGTTCCTGCGTTGACTCGACAGGTGTTTTAAAAACGTGACCATGCGATAACTTGTTTTCTTTAAACTCCGTCACTTCTTGGAGCCAATCTAATTCTTTATCCAAAAGTGATCCTTCGTCAACATTACTTTCCCCGACAATCTCGACAAATTCGGTCAATAGTTCCTCGCATTCAACAGGAAGAGAAGAGGAGTCGAGGGATATGTCCGATTGACTGGAGTCACTTGAATTAATCTCTTCTTCGCATTCGTAGTCAGGATCCGAGCCAGACTCGTCGCTGTCGGAAATTTCAAAACATTCTGTCTGATTACAACTGACTACGTTCTCCCCGTTAGCACCGTCAAGTCCTCCGTCGCTGATCTCTTTTGAACCTAGATTCTTTCTTTCCTCGTCGCTCCTTTCACTCTTCTTTTCTTCATGACTATTATTCCATAATCTTCTTGTGAGATTATCGTATTCTTCATCACTGTCTGTAATGGTTTTCATCGCATTATCTTCTCTTCTGTCTTCCCCTCGATGCTTCCTCTTGTTGGATGTTTTCTTCATCTTGTTTAGTGCTCCTCTTGCAAGTGTTTCATAATCTTCTTTAGTTACCCTGGCACTGTCTATATTTGGGCTGCACGGAATAATATCCTCGACTGTTTCATTGTCTTCAGGGTATGCACCATCGCCCTCGTTAACTTCGCTTGCACTGTTGCTTGCCTCTGAAATGGTTTCTTGCAGTTTTCTGCTTCCACAGTTGCTTGTCTCTGAAATGGTTTCTTGCGATCTTCTGCGTTTGGGCTTGTGTCTCCTTTTACTCTCTGCTGCTCTATCCTGTCGATGCTTAATCTTCCAGGCTGCTTTCTTTAATTTTCATCAGCCTTTGTGGCTAGTTCCTCATAATCTTCATCCTCGAATTCGTCACTTTTCCTGGGCTGCATCGTTTAGACCCCACCTCCTCGTGTGTGTTGTTATCTTCATCTTGCCAATTAGCCTCTTCGTCACTTTCGCTGTACTGTTTCTCCTGCCTGCCGTTTTTCCTGCGTTTTAAGTGGGATTCTACTTTTTTGAACGAAGCTCGTGGAGCGTGCGATAGCGCATTTAAATAAGCAGGTGTTCCTGGTTTTAGTTTGTGTATACCAGTCTGCAAATGTTTGTGGAGTTGAAATATCGGTTTCTTCTCCCTCTTACACGGGGATAGAGGACAAAATTTTATCCTTCGATTGGGTGGCTTTCTTTCTCGAGTTACATAAACATCCAGTTTTCTTTTCATCTTTGACATTTTATGCACATCGCTTTGATGGCGGCTTAAGTTCTGAACTATGCTTCCACATTTCTTACACTTCTTGGATTTCCTTTTCGTGCGACTGGACGAACTGGCAGGTACGCCGGACACTGAAGCGCTTTCATCATCAGCAGCAGTAGACAGGTCTGCTTGACTTTCCATTTCCTTCTACTTCGTCTCAACTCTAAGAAAAAAAAAGACAACAACAACAACAAATTTATTACCACCTTGTAGTCCTCTGCAGCGTGTCCCTAATTGCAAGCAATTTGTCGCAAAGACGAAATTGAAATACACAAAATAGTGAGCAGCCCCTTGCGAATTGTAGCTGCAAATACTGTTTTACAGGAGAAAACTAGATGAAAGTGATCAGGAAGTTAAAAGCTTTTGTATACCTTAGGAATCTTACGGACTTACTTCTAAAACCCAGCTTAACGTTTTGGTTGTAAGTCAGATGACCACTTTAGTTTTCATAAATAAAGTACCATGCGTTTCAATTAAGTCTCAGCGGTTTTGCGTTTGACTTTAGGGTTGCGAATTACAGTCAGTTTTTAGCTTAGAATCACAGTGGTTTTAAGACAACGACACTTTTATACCACCTGCGAACAACAAGCTCGCTAGCATGTTCTTGTGGTCTTACGCTGAGGAGAATGCGCACTTGTTAAGTTTAGATACTCATGATACTAACTTGTACTTAACTTCTTTTCCGAACTGTCTATTGTTTTCTGTTTGTTCTTTTATAACATAAGTTGAATACCCGATCGTGAGACATACTTATCATTGCACGCATCACTTCTGCAAAGGCGTCAGCGAGATTAATAAAATTTGTCCTTTCGGGTTCAGCAGCTAGTGAATTTTATTTGAAAATATGTGTTACTATTTATTTTAGATAGATAATGAGTGACTTTGTAAACAATTATTGCCGCAGTAATCAACGTCGAAGTAAGTGTTATCAACCGAGCCGAAGGCCGAGGCTGATAACGGAGACCTTGATTATTTAGGATATCACAAAAACCGAATCTAATAATTGTTTAATAATACATTGTTTTAAAGAGAATAACGACAAACACACCTTTGCACTTAACCTGAATTGATATTGCTATTGGAAATCATGCATTTGGCGCGTAACCTACAGATTAGTCAGTTATCTGTAGGTTGCGCTGAAAGGTTCTGGCTTGTAAGCTAACGAGCCAACTAGGAGCAGGTTGCGTTGAATTAGTTCGTTATAAACCCGTGAAAGGATGATGATGAAGTTGTGAACTGCGGAGTGAAGAATTAAATGGGGGATGATCATCGCAGTTATATACGCAATTTTTGCAGTTGCGTAAAGAAAGCTTGAAAAAAATTCAGGCTTGTACGGGATTCGAACCCTTGAGCTCTACGATACTGGTGCAGCGCTTTACCAATTAAGCTAACAAGCCAACTGGGAGCAGGTCGTTGAATTGGTTCGTTATAAACCCGTGAAGGATGATGATGAAGTTCTGAATATATGAAAATCATATATGTGATTTGCGGAGTGAAGAATTAAATGAGGGATGATCATCACATTATATAATCAACTTTTGCCGTTGCGAAAAGAAAGGCCGAAAAAAACATCCCGTACAAGCCTGAATGTTTTTCAGCCTTTCTTTTCGCAACAGCAAAAGTTGAGTATATAACTGCGATGATCATCCCTCATTTAATTGTTCACTCAGCCGTCCACATATATGATTTTCATATATTCAAAACTTCAATAAAGGTTATTTGCGTTTACGGTCATCCAAAACCACTAGGCTCTAACGGTGCATGTCATGAGTAATAGACTTTGTCTTGTTCTGAGGATATTCCGATTTTGGTCGAATTTTACGTTGTAAAACAGTAATTGTATTTTGTAGCGCATCATTTACATCACGATTCCATTTTTCCTAAGCACTCGCACGACAATCTCGCTTATCAGTAACTCCGTATTGGAAAGTAAATTTTGAATGGTTGCCTAAAAATCGGCGGCATTGGGACAGAGTTATACGCTTCGGGTTATGTGCTTCTGGTTTGATGTAACATATCCTACTCGTGATACTAGCTTGTGTGCACTTAACGTCTTTATCAAACTGGCGGACTGCGCGCCTCATACAGTTCCATGTGACATATCCTACTCGTGATACTAGCTTGCACTTAACGTCTTCTTCGAGGTGACGAGCGGCACACATCATACAGTTCCATGTAACATATCCTAGTACTCGTGATACTATCTTGCGCGCACTTAACGTCTTTATTGAACTGGCGGACTGCACGCCTCATACAGTTCCAGGCAGGTAAACATATGCTACTCGTGGTACTAGCTTGCACTTAAACTCTTTTTTTCGAACTGGCGGGCGGTGTGTCCCATACAGTTCCATGAAACATATCCCGGCTTCTTGTGATATTTAGTTTGGCTGGGTTAAAGATCGGTGTTTGAATCAGTTCAGTCGGCCTTAACTTATTTAGGCCGGACTACTACGGTTTTTGCGTTTTTTTTCCCCGATCCGCGAAAAAAAGTTCCAGCAAAAAAAAATAAAATAAAATAATAATAATAATAATAATAATAAAATACCACTCCTAGTAGTAGTAGTAGTAGTAGTAGTAGTAGTAGTAGTAGTAGTAGTAGTAGTAGTAGTAGTAGTAGTAGTAGTAGTAGTAGTAGTACTACTACTACTACTACTACTACTACTACCACTGAAAATGGTCACTGCTTTTTGAGGTGCGAGAAGTTTAGTCGTTTACATGGAAGGATTGAATTATACTGGTAAAAAGCTTATCAAAACGTAAATATACATGGATGAAGACAAAGATGACCCCTCTTTCGAGCCTGGAGATAATCCTGGACAAAAGAAAAAGGTAACATTCAAGCCAGCCTCAATGGTGGACATGAAACCATGTGATGATCTTCACCGATATCTGGTCGACAAATTTCACTCATCCACTAAATCCAAATCAGTTTTATTCGAAGCAATCGATTTTTCAGCCTACAAAACTGCTGCTAAGGTTGTCTCCTTTGTAACATCTGAAGACCGGCTACTTTTATGGATCAAAACCTTCGCTGTGCGATACTTTGATCACCTGAACGTGATGGGATATCGAGTAACATGGCAAGAACAAGAGTCACATAGCTGCCCAACCAAAAGCGATAAAATCATCATGCACATTCACGAGGAAGAAAATAACATTGAAGATCAAATGGTCACCATAACTATCTTTATTTCCACTGGCAGAATCATGGTTCAAGGCAAAAAATTCGCCGAGTGGAGTCAACAGGAATTTCCTGCACTGCTATCTATTGTTAACAGTCTCGGGTCGTCAGGAAACCTTAGCGCTGTTAGCGCAAAGGACCAATCTGCATTCCATATAGAACTCCAAAAGTTTTTCACAAAGTACAAAGGATGTGAGATTGCGGACACAAGGGCTTCGGAACTAAACGACACTACCGTGGAAAATGCCGAAAATGTTGTCAGTGACATAACAGAAACAGAAACACCCAGTGCAGACAAAGGAAATACAAGAATAACGCAATTGTCAACACCCATTGAACTCTCCCTTACACCGAGTAGGCTAAACACCTTAACTACTCTTCGAAATACCGTCGGAAATTTAGAAGCCGATTTTACTGAGTTTAAAGTAACAAACGCTGGTAACCTCGAGCACCTAAAAGACAAAGCTGCCCAACTGGATCACAATTTCAAAGTACAAACAACAACCCTAGGGGGCTTGCTGATGATCTGGAAAACAATACTAAACTTCTAAATCACGATTTACAAAAACACGCTGACTTAATTTCCAAATTACAGAATGAAAATCAAGCACTTCAAAAGAAAAATGCGAAAATATCGGAGGATAACGCAACCATGAGAAGAACACAGAACCAGCTTGAAGCGGAAATCACCTTTCTTAAGGACCAAATTAAAGCCCTCTGGGAAACAATACAACTGCCGCCGGAAACAACTAAGACGTCGAGCCAGACCTCTGGTGAAGAAATGGACGACAAATTCAATGATAGCACAAAGAATAAAGCTGCCATTCCTACATCAAACGACAACCAATGGTCAGAAGATGAGATACTACTTGTTAATCTTCCAACATCAAACTCTTTCTCTCCCCTTCAAGATCTACCAGAAAACCCGCCAAGAAAAGAACCACAAAACAAACCCGTAGACACTAATTCCCAGCACCCTCCTAAGTCTCCTGCTACCAACGACACCAATAATTCTAATGAAGTGATCTTTCTATGTGATTCAAATGGAAAGTTTTTAGACATGGAAAAAATGTTTTCTTCAGACCAGGAAGTGAAGTATGTTAGAACTCCACTGATTGAACACGCTAGATCGTACTTACAAAGTCAAATCCACACTGCTCCCCGACTACTCATATTACACACAGGAACAAACGATCTAGAAAGAACCAGTTCTCCTGAAGATCTTATTTCTAACATCTTAATATTGATTACAGAAGCCTCAACGAAATTTCCTTCAAGCAAAATATTCTACTCAACACTTCTTCCCGCAGCGACATCCCGACACCAATAATAACTTCAATAAACAATCAGTTGATCAGTAGCTGCTCAAGATTACCCAATGTGCAGTTAGTCAAACATGACAACCTCTTTGAGAATCAATCAAATATTCTTTACGATCAGAAACATATTCTTAAACGGTACGTAAAATTTTTCGCCAAAAACCTTAAAGACGCAATTCGCGGTCGTGCCAGACCAAAACCTACAGTTCCTTCTAATACAATGCCAGCCCAAAGACAAAGATCCTCACAAACTCAACCGACTTCTTCCCAAGGTCCCAAGCCACTATTACATCACTCATCATACAGCAATGCCGTAAAGAACACACCACCTCAAGTGCCTAGTTGGCCTCACCTTCTTCAAACTCAACCTCCGCCGTTACCATTTGTCACAGCACAACTTCCACAACGAATACCTCCAACACCATTGCAAAATTCACTACATCATGAACCAAATGCCTCAAATAAAGCATTCCAGCTTCCTATGCAAACCCTGCCGGACCAGATACTCCCAGCTCCGCCACCAACTATATCGCATCAATACTCCAAAACACCGCATCAAACGTTTCCTCAGG